GACACACACCAGTATTCCTATGTTGTTGAAGAGCATCTCGGCGCACTTTCAATTCCAAGGGGAAAATTTCGATCTGGACAGACGGGGCCAGGAGAAGAGGGAAGTATCATGTGCTGGAAGGCAAAAATCGCAATTTTTCTCAGAAATTCTTCCGGATTTCTCTGAATTTCGTTAATATTTTCCTATTTCCCAACGAATTTTTCCCTTACCATGTTTCTAGGAAAACGATGCTACCTTACCAAAATCCCGGACGCCTCAAAAATAACAAAATAAAACTTCTCCCTTCCGATTTTTGGTATTCGCGAGAGTTTGCAAGGATAGTCATTTCAAAGATCCATTAAAATATTCACACACGTTCAGATCCAAGCTTAGCTTTTTTGGGGAGAAAAGGAGGTTCAGGGTAGGTGGGACATTTTTTCGTCTTCTAGAGCTCACCTGGGAGGAAATATAGTTCGTTCAGAACATGGAAAATGAAAAAGAACCGAAGAAAAAACACAGAAATGAAACTTCTGGCTGTCACACAGGACTTGTGGTTTTTGACATGATTTGTTTTATTAACAGCTGGCTCTTCTAAATGGTAACTGAATTTTCGACATGTTCTTATTTCATTAGTTCCTTGGAAACTTTCATAGACGTTCACGGTATTTGGCATATTTTCTTTTGCATTGGCGGCAAATGCCCCTCCTTATTCCTAGACCCCAATTTGACATTCCTTTTGGGAATTGCATGCATGACATGCAGATGCAGATGTAACACGTTCAGCCTTCACGTTACTCCTCTCACTCTAGATGGACTTAAAGGCACATTTCATGACCTTAGAGGCAGCGATTACGATAAAGTGGGAGCGCATCGGGGAAGCATATGCACCACACGAATCAGTTACTTGGCTGCCAGGAAGCGAGGTGTGGCGCTTTCACGACGAAAGGTGCGCTGGTTGCTGAGCAGGACTTCGAAAGCACTCCGCCCCAAAAGCGATCCGCCCACTAGTTTAGGTGATTTGGACGAGCTGCGTTGCCAGCAGCGGCACAACTGGAGCAACTCGATTGGAGCGTGGTTTGGCATGGTGTCACCAAACGCGTTGCGCTGAACTCGTTCATACGTCCGCTTTCTGAGCTGTTACCTGTTCATGAGTGAAAACCAACGGCCAAAAAAGGGGTCCCGTTTTGCGTTTTTTGACGGATTTCTCCGCTTTTTTCGCCACCGACGCTCCATTGAGCACCACCACGCCCCTTCCAAGCTCTTCTTGAATCTATCGTAATCTCTTTCTTCAAGGAATATGTCAAACCAGTGAAAAGTTGTCTACTCATCAGAGAGAAGGACAAAAAACCTTTTGGCATTGGTCGATCCCATTTCGGAATGCGACATGTATTCGTCTCTTGTTCAAAGTCATAACTTCGGGTGCCCGACAGGAAGCCCTTCCGTGCGGCAAGAAAGCAGAGTCATTGGACAAGTCGTACCGCGCTGTAGTTCTCGCGTTAAAGGGAGGCGTCATATGGCGCGATCACATTGGCATTAGAGCGCACAGGCCGCAATTGCCCCATCCTGCTGCGGCCGGACAACTCGTCCGTATCACTCAACTACTAGACTTCAGTAATTGATCGATCTGATAATTTGGGTCTCAAAAATCTCGCTGAGTCCCAAAGATCTAAAAAAGAGCGGATAGCTTCGCTGGCCTGATGCCAAGGCAAGAGGAACGGAACAGAATGTGTTGCGCGGACGAGTTGTCCGGCCACAGCAGGACGTGGTAATTACGGCCTGTGCGCTCCAATGCCAATGGGATCGCGCCATATGACGCACCCCCACGTCAAGTAAAATAAATAGAATGCACCATTGCATGTCCAACATCGCACAGCACGCGCTGCGACTCGTCCGCTGACTCTGCCTTCTTGCCGCGCGATGGGCCTCCTGTCGGGCACCGGATAACTTTTGATGGGATTTTACCCACGTTCATCCAATTCAATGGTGAAGCACCATGAAAATTATCAAAAAAAACTAATGTCATCAAATTCTGCTCAAGATTTATTCCACAAAGAAACGCTGATTCCACGGTAATCCTGGATTACTCCTGCGTTGGCTTTGTATTTGGATGCGTTTCCTCTTCTTCTGTAGCTGCTTCTGGCACCACTGGTCGCGACTGCTGTTGTAGCTGTTGCCGTTTCTTCTGCCGTTGTTTTCGGTTCTGTTGGTGTAGTCTGATTGTGGATGCATTCTACAGGCGCTTTTTTGTAGTACTGCCCCTTTTCTACGACTTCTTTCATCCATTGCGACACCTCAAAAGACAGAATTGTTGAGACTGTGTCGCTCCTGTAGACGCTGACATTCAATGCATATTCTATGCAGAAAAGCTTTGAAAACATCACCGGTGCCGTACCTTGTCACAATCGGTGTGCAAAATTGAGAAAGTGAAAGCAAAATTGCCATCGACGTCTGCTGAGCTGAGATTAGCGAATTTTCCCAGCTTGTTGGAGTACTGCTCGATCTGAAGCGAATTTCGAGACCAGAGTGTAGGTCTAGATTATGGAGAAGAGAGGAAATCGTCACTCACATGTGTTGCTGGGAAATAGCCCATGTA